TCTTCTCTTTCGTGCTCAATTTAGAGAGTTCTATTTAATTCTGTTCTGTTTTATTGAGTAACGGGAAAGTAGAATTCGTACGTGTTCGCGTTCTTCCGAATCAATTTAGGAAGCGTAGGGAATTAAATTTCAAATTAGGTAGAAAGTTCGATTTCTTTCGCGAGCTAAGCGCGAGTATTTTCTTTGGGAGGAACTGCTTCGTTAGGATCGGCAAAGCCATTTTTCGCCAACTATTCATAACGTAATTGCATTTAAACGAGTAGTTACTAATTATCAATTCGTTAGTATAAAACGTAGCGATTGTTGTTGTAAAAGTCAATGGTTATCGATACGTCTTGTTTAATACCTCTACCTGTTACCAAGTTAAGTGTAATTTTAACGAGTAGTAGCGTGTATATGTTGAATGTGTCTCGACGAGTCCACAAGTCGTTTTGTCGAATGCCCATGATCGTCCGCGATCTTGCTCGCTTTAACAAAAATGATGTAAAAAAAAAAATAGATAAAAAAGATGCAAAAAGTTAAAAAAAAAACCGCGCAAGCTTAAGTAGTAAATTATCGCATATATGTAAACAGCCGAATCGGGACGCGAGCCGACGAGAGAAAACGAGAAACGAGATCCGACGAAAGCCACTGACGATTCAAAGGATTTGGATCTCGATGGAATTTTTCAACAATATCCTGTTATTTGTGAGTTTCGATTTATTGCTTTCGCGCGTCAGACGAGGTTAAAGACAAAAACAGGTTATAAATTTAGTTTTTCACGTGGACAACGAGCTTGGGCAAATTTTATTCGAAATAAAGATGAAAAATGACGATTTGAAGCAACGAATCGTTTCGACCATTTTATTTGCATCACTCGTTTCAGAAATTCTCTTGTTCTCTTTTTTCAAAATCGTAGAAAATACACTGAATAATAGCACCGCGCAATGAAATAAATTTGGAGAAAAGAGGCAAAATTGAATTTTTTGATCGTCAGTGTGCTAGCCAAGAGAGCTATGTTTCAAAACGTAAAAATGTACAACGTATTCCGGTAAATGTGCCAAAGAGAAACAAAAATATATACAAACCACAAGAACCATAAGAAGAAGAAGAAGAAGAAACAAACGGTAACGTGCAATTCGAGCGCGAGAGGTGGGAAAGTTGTGCACACAATTGGAGACGGAAACTATTACGCGATCGAAAGAAGAAAAGAAACTGCAACGAGAGAAAAAAGGGGGAGAAACGTGTTTCGCAGCTGGTGTGCATTCGAGTTGTTTTCTTTACGACGCAGGGTCGCAATTGCACCGTTCGCGTTGTCGCGAATAAACGAACTCGAGAAACATCGCAGAGATAAATGGAGATAAACGGAGAACAACGTCAGACGAGAAGTGAGATCAGACGATAAACAAGGAGAGGAGAACGATAAGTAAAAGACGTGGCTAGCTGCTTTTCGGCTAACAATAAGCGAATAGACGAAACTAAAATGAAATATACCTCGTGTGTTAGTGTTTCTTCCTGTTTTCAAAGCGAACTTTTCTAACGAAGCATCGAACGAAGTGATGTAGAACAAAGGATAAGAAAGGAAATGAGAAACGAGTGAAACAGAGAGAAGAAACGAGAGGAAAAAAATCTTGAAAAGTCGGACGAGAGAAATGAAAAGAAAGGAAAGAAAGAAAGGAGACGATATTTTTGTAAAAGCCTTCAACGCAATTCACCGGAGCTATTCGAAGATCTCAGCTAACATATCTGACAATGCCTTACCGCTTTAATGAATCGAAATAAAAAAACGAAAAAAGAAAAACCAAAAAAAAAAAGAAAGAAAACATATGAAACGAGAATAGAAAAACAAATTCGTGAAAGCGGACCGATCACGATCGAGGAAAATGTTGGAACTTCTCATTGATCAGCGTCAGTGGCGAGGCGATCGGCTTTTCGATCTTTCGATTTTACTTAACGATCGGAGACAACGAGCGAAGTGACGCTGATAATCTTTCTGGTTGAAGAGTTATGTAAAGCAGGAAAGTGGGAAAAACTGGTTCTATCAGGCATCGGTTCGAAACGGAAAGCGTTATTTATAAATGTATTGCTCGAATCGGTATTCCTATTTTCTAAACTGGCGGAGGTAGTCTTTAAAAAAAAAAAAAAAAAGTGAATGTTTACTCGATACTCGGAATACTTAAAGAAAAAGATTTGTCAAGGTTTTCCCTTCTCTCGATAATAAAGTAAATGGTATTCGGTTTTCGAAAAAATTATCCAAGTTTCCTGATTCATCCTTCGAGAAGGAACCACGTGAAATTTAGACGTAAGAAAATTTGCAGAATTCCTCCCCCTTTTCGTTTTCGTTCGCAACAAAAGTTGCTTTCTCGACTAAAAATGTTATCAGTATGTTTCTTCATCGCCCAATTGCAACAAAAATATATCAAAACTATGATACAATGGGAAATATTTATCGTTTAAAGACTGCCAAACTGTTGCAATTAAACCACTGTACATTAACAGCTTCATTGCACGATGCTTCACGGTCGCTGATCCTCCAATCCCAAGAAGAGGAAAAAGATTCGTCGGTAGCTACTTTTCCACACACATACACACACAATGTTCCCTTTACTCGACAGCTGGAAGTTTCGAACATTTCGGGGAAAATACTGTCGCTCTCGATCGATCGCTTTCCAATATTCCGAAGAACATCAGC